ATATTGTTAAATGCAGCTCCAATTCCTCCTTTTTTTGTCCTTTCTATCCAGTGAGAAACTGTCACGTCAGAGGTTTACTTGTGATGAATCAGTCTTATCATTGATATTCTTTCTGTTCTGTTGTCCTGATGTTGTGTGGTTCCTCTCACTGCATTTGTTGTGCCATCCTTCTCTTGACATGAAAACTGGTGTTTGTGATCTTGACTCTAAATCAGGTGTATGTTATGATCTGTATTGCAACTAACTCAGCTTCAAAAAGAGTTTGTCTATTAGAGAGATCTTTTTTGGGTTGTCTAAGTGGTTAATGTTGTTTTTGAGTTCACTGCTTGGGGTGTTTGAGTCGGTTAAATGTACATATCAAGATGCGAGGCGGTTGTTATCATTCAAATGTTTGCAGCCTTGTCATCACAGACGTGATCTCAGCCCAAAGGTATTTGAACAACATTTGGAAGCAGTAAGTGTAATATGCAAAGTGTGTGCTCTGTTTGTCCCCATGTCTTGTCTTGGCAGCATGAACACCAGTCACTCACAGTCAGCCACTAAACTGGTTAGTGGCTGTGAATTAATGACAGACGAGCATGCACAGACAAGACAAACGGGTCACTTTGTTTTCAGATTCTCAAGATGTAATCCTCTACAGGTTTATAAAGGCTTCTGTGATGCTGTCTCTACATTCAGATCTCCCTGAGAGCTTAAGGGCGTGTGCTGAGGGCCTTCATTGAGTCATCCAAATGTTTCTGTAATAATCCACCTGTTAATATCAGCATGAACTGTATCACTGAATACCACTGCCGTTCTCACACCACAAGTTTTCCTGCCATTAAAGTAGTGGGAAGCAGCGCGGCTTGGCTGGCTTTCAGCTGTTCCTGTGCCAAAAGCTACATTTCTGAAGGGCCTGTACAGCACGTGGGGCTTTAACTTTGTTATCCTGCCAAAAAATGCAGGAGAAAAAAAACTCACAAGTTACTTCACTGCTTGGGCTGGAGCCATGGGGGAATCCCAGCAGGGCTGACGGTGACGCAGGCAGAGAGTGGAGTAAGGAAGGGTCTTAGGTTTTGGGATGCCCTACAGTTTCTCAAAAAGGCTGTTGTAGGCTCTGTGTATTCAGTCAGCAGCTGACGCTGATCGTGATCTATCCTCGTACTTGTCTGCCTGGATACCAGCACACAGCTGCAACATGCTGACATGTCGGTGAAAACTGAAGAATTTGTCTTTCATATTTGCGTCTGCTGATTTTAGGCAACCTTCCCAAGCTATCAAGAGTTCATCTAATCAGAATCATGCCAATAGATATGCACATGGTTCATGAGCAGACATAGCGACCTTTATGGTTTTATTAGGGTT